TCCTACTTTCAGGCTGATCAACAATACCTTCCAACTTGATGTCATCTGCAAACTTATTGAAGGTGCACTCCATCCCTTCATCCAGATTATCAATCAAGATATTAGACAGGGCCAGCCTCATTGCTGACCCTCATGGAACACCACTCATGACCGTTTGCCAGTGGATTTAACTCCATGCACCACCACTCTCTTGGAAAAGCTCTCCAGCCAGTTTTTACTCAGCTAAAAATATAGCTGTTTATAAGCCATAGGCTGCCAGCTTGTCCACGAGAATGCTGTGGGAGACAGAGCCAAAGGCTTTACTAAAGTCTAGGTAAACTATATCTATAGCCTTTCCCTCATCCACTAGGCATGTTGCCTGGTCACATAAGGAGCTCAGGTTGGTCAAGCAGGACCTGCCTTTCATGTACTCATACTGGCCAGACCTGATCCCCTGGTTGTCCTGAACATGCCAAGTAATTGCACTCAAGACAATCAGTTCCAAGACCTCCCCCAACACCAAAGTCAGGCTGACAGTTCCCCTGTAGTTCCCCAGATCCTTCTGACCCTCCTTATAGATGGGCATCACATTAGCAAGTCTCCAGTCATTTGAGACATCCACAGTTGACCAGGGCTGCTGATAAATGATGGAAAGTAGCTTAGCAGTCACTTCCACTAGGTCCCTCAGTATCCCCAGGTGGATCCCATCTGATCCCATGGACTTGTGACAGTCTCCATGGAGTAGTGAGTTGCTAACTAATTCCTCCTGAATTAGGTGTTATTCTCCTCCTCATCACCATCTTCCAGCTCCAGGGGCTGAGTACTCTCAGGATGGTAAACACTTTTTTTCCTGGAGTATCAGCAGAAGCTCTCTGTTCAAGCAGGCTGGTCTTCTCCTGTTGGGACCTAAAAGGAGGTTCAGAACTTGAATTTGTTCTGAGTTTATTTAGATCATCTTCTGTGCAGCCATGTAGTCCAGAGACACAAGCTGCAATCACCCATATACACAGGTACCTCATATGTCACACTGAGCCTGATCCGAGCTGCCCACAGATATGACACCAGGAGCTCTGTGGGATGTGCTTGATGCTGCTTATGGCATCAGCTGTGCCTGTGATGCATCCCCATGCTGGGACCTGTCCTCATGGACATCCTGGGCTCTTCTGTCACTACAACCCCAGGGTAAGTGTGGCTTTCCCTCCCCCTGTTCTGTACCAGAAGGGGAAAGGTGTCCCTCAAGCTCCATGTTAGCCTGGTTCATTGCAGAAGACAGGGTGGGTCTGAGGCCCCACGTGCAGAGAAGCACTATAACAGCTGCATGAGACTGCCAGGTCCTTCAGGGGTTTATCAGCAGGTTCCTTAATGTTTTTTCTTTCTTGTCATTCCTAAACCAAAACTGAAACCATTGTATTGTACGAGTCTGTGCTAGTTGTGTTTCAGGACAGTCTGCAGGTGCCCATGTGTGGAAGGGGTCTGGGCTCTCTCACTGAACAGGTAATGTAACAGTGTGATCCAATGCCCAGCAGCAGCAGCAGCTTGTCCGCTCCAGAAACGAGGCATCAGCAAATGAAACTCCTGAGTACACAGTGGGCAGGGGACAGAGGGTGTTGCCTCAGACATTCCCTGCAGGTGCTGGCTGATGGGCCATGATCCCATGGCACAAACCGGCCAGTACAATTCAATCATTTCTGTTCAGGTGGAGAGGAGCAGGAAAGAAAATACCAACAGTCAACCACGGCAACAGGGGGAAAATCCTTCAAAAAAAATGATATAGTATGAGGGTCCCTAGTACACCTCTCTCACTTGCTCACTCATTTCCTTGCTTTTTCATTCATAATCTTCTTTACATTTCCTCAGCAGTAATTTCAGCTCTACAAAAGCTCTCTGCTCCTTCTCCAGAAAAAGCTCAGCAGCAAGAGCAGTCCACGTGCTTTACCAACAGCACTAACTGCACATGCAATGAAGCAAGTCCACTTGCCACATACATCCAAATGCTGAGCACAGGCGATTGCTGTTCTGATCATTACAACCTTCCTAGCAGCACCAGCTTCACAGTCCTATCTTGTAACACGAGAGAGGGGACGTGGCCCATCCCATCCTTTGTCTCTGCTTACTGAAACCAGGTGAAGAAAGAATGTTTCTCAGACAAGTCTGTACGTGCTCCAGTGGCAGTCCGGATAGGGGAGCAGCCACAGCCCGTAAGAACAGGAATATGGCCTCACACAGATCTAACTCTTTGTGCCCTCACACCCAGCCTGGACTCGCAATCCTTGTGCCTGTATTTGTATCCTCATTATGAAAACCTCTCGTGTCCATAGGCGAGTCAGAGATATGAAGCATGTTGGACATGCTGCTCTGCCCATAAATGGGCTGAAAGAAACTGTAAAGCTCTCTCAAGCCTTCCTCATGAAAGAAAAATGACTTCCAAAAAAACTAATTAACTTTTGCTAAGGACCCTACATTCATATCTAGCTTGCAGTGAGATTCACGACAGAGGCCCCAGGATGCAACTACAACACAGGAGAAATAAAGAACAAAACCCACTATCAATAATAGCAAATTAGAAGAGGATGAGACTATTCATTCAACTTCATCCACCTGCTAAATTTGCATTGTGCTGAGATTTACTCTGGTTGTTTCAAATTACATTCTAGTAAATACTACAGCCCTTCCCTCTCAATTACTCTGGAGAAATCAAAGGTCAAACTCTTCTACATTTTCAGTATGTACTTAGGCACTTTAGTTTTATTGCTCTCCTCTTACCAGCTGTTTGGTGGTGTGGTTTTCCTTTTGTGGGAGTTTGTTTTTATTGGTGGTACCAGCAAAATCTGGGAATTAAACTTGCCAACCCAAATGACAGGTTGGAAAGCCAACATTATTTCACTGCAGGACTGGGTGCGTGGGCAAGCATTCCCACTCAGCGTGCATACCTGTGATCCAAAGCATAGAGATTGTACACATTTTAACATGGGAATGTTCATACAATTTCTATGAAGCACCTGCCTATTCCTGGAATTGCTGTACATATCAGAATGTGGTACTACACATGTACTCTGTTAATTTAAGATTTGAGTAGGATGTCTTTGGTGACAAAAGGTTGCATGTTACACAAACCAGGTGCCACGTATCTTCAGAAACCTATTTACAAAAAATATGGCTGTTGACTAAGTTTTTAACTGGTGCTTTGATATAGTTATGGCGCTTATTATCAACCCCAGCAGAGAAGTTTAACTCTTCCACAGAGTTGGTGGAGTATTGAGTCTCTGCTTCTTAGGCTGCAGTTGTCCTCCTTATTATCTAGGAACAAAAACTTTCCAAAGAGAACAGTTCCACTGAGGTGTTCAAATTACTTGCTGAAAGCCCTTAATTTATTGACAGGGAAGGCACAAAATCTATTAACAGCTATCAGAGGTGGTTTTTTTTCATTTGTTTCTTTTGAGGGGAGCTATGACAGTAAAGAAAATCTCCCAACCTGCAACTCAGCAACCACTTCTTGCTGCTTTCTCCATGCTAGCCCCTCAGGCTGTAAACAGCCGTTTACGAGGGTTGATAGTGATAGGACAAGGGGGAACTGTCTTAAACTGAGACAGGGAAGGCTTAGGTTAGATATTAGGAGGAAATTTTTCACACAGAGGGTGGTGATGCACTGGAACAGGTTGCCCAAGGAGGTTGTGGATGCCCCATCCCTGGAGGCATTCAAGGCCAGGCTGGATGTGGCTCTGGGCAGCCTGGTCTAGTGTTGGCGACCTGCACACAGCAGGGGGGTTGAAACTAGATGATCACTGTGGTCCTTTTCAACCCAAGCCATTCTATGATTCTATGGTGCTGAGAATTGGCAGAAGTTGTATAAAACAGGGCACAGATACAGATGCTTTTTGGTTTCCTCTGGTGTGATGTTTGCCAGCTCAGACAAGTAATATGAACCCTCAAAACTGAGGACAGAGCATTTAGTTTGTCTGGTCTCAGGACAAATGTATTTCCAAACCCCATCAGAAAATTCATAGTCAAACATATAGTGAGTCTAAACACAGGCAATTATCAGCCTACCAGCAGCCAGGGTACCACCCCAGCAAGGCACTCAGGCAGACACAGCTTTAAGTCCCCGTGTAAACGCTACTGACTTCAGCTGTGTGTGGAACTGGTCTGCAGGGTTTGTCTGTCGGGTCACCTGCTGTCCAGGCAAATAAGGGCCAGAACTGCTCCTCTCCCTGGCAATCCGAGGGCATCAGCAGCTGACTTTGACATCTTAAAATCGTTGCTTGGTGAATCTCACCCAGTAGCTCTCCCATCCCAATGCTCACTGACGGCTTCTTTTGTCCCTCACGAAAGCCGCTGTGACCCAGCCCGAGGCCAGCTCGCCAGGGACAACCCCCACGTCCCAAGGAAACCCATTCCCTTATTATTTCTTTCACTTTGAACAACGAGAGCGGGCACGGCGCTTACCGGCCACAGCTCTCCTCCTGCTCCAGCGACCAGAGCACCGTTGGGAACTGCAGGAGCACCAACTGGAGCAGATGCGCACACGGACAACCATCGGCGCGCCAGCCCGCCCAAGCGCCCCATTGGCTGCCGCCTCAGGCACCGCCCTGCTATTCCCCCTGTCATTGGACGCAGCCCGCAGTCCGGTTCGCGCCCGCCCTCCGTCTCGTGCTGCCATTGGTTTCCTTATCCCCTTCTCTTCGTTCCCGGTTCTGTCTCTGAGGGCTGATTGGGCAGCTCTCACCATCTGGCTCCGCCTCGCTCCGAACTTTCTGCTTTGCGACTGGCCGGCCGCTCCCTTCCCCTCGTTCCCCGCTCGCTGACGGGCGTGCTGCTCTCCCCATTGGGCCGCGCCCCCACGCCCCGCTCCTCCCCCCGTGTTCCACAGCACGCCGCGTTCAGTCGCCGCTCGTCTCTTCCCCGAGCGTGACGTCTCTGCCGCCCATTGGGGGAAGCAGCGGCTCGCGCTTCCGGTGCGGCGCGGCGCGGCCGGGTGGGGGCAGCGGAGCGGGAGAGGCGCGATCGTGTCCGGCAGCGGCGGGATGGAGCGGCCCGAGCGGGCTGCGGCGGCGCCGGGCGCTCAGCCCCGTGCCAACGGCTGCAGCGGCGCGGCCCACGGAGGGCTCCGCAACGGCTACGTGCGCGGCCTGCCCGCAGCCGACACCCAGGTCAGCGCGCCGGGAGTGTCCTGCCGCCCGGGCGCGGCCGGCAGCGATGCGAGGGAGGAGGTGGACGGGAGGGGAAGGGAGAGGGGGGGCAGGGCAGCGCCCGGCTCGGGAGTTCGGGGCGGGCGAGGCAGCGCCTCCGTGCTGGACTCTGAGCGGGCCGAAGGCAGCCGGCGGGCCGAGGGGAGAGCTGGGGGGCTGCGGCGGAGCCCCGCGGAAGTTCGGGTCTCGCAGCCCGGTAGTGGCCCGGAGCCCGGGGGCCCCGCGGGTAACGGCGGCCGGGCCGCTGCCCATGTCTGGGATGCCTAGCCATCCGGGCTGGCCGTCCCGTGCCGTTGGGTTTCTGTGGCTTTAAGCTGGAATCCCGCTCCCGTGTAACAGGTCCGTGCTTTAGCAGAAAGCAGCAATTAGTTCCTTGATGCTGCTCTGTTGCTACAGGTGCAGTGTGTCCTCTGAGCAGGAGCTTCCTAATCCGGGAGAGTGAAGGGCTTCGTGCAGTGCTTCTCATCTTGCTGTGTTATGGATGTATTGCTAGGCGTTTGCACCTTCACAGTTCCAGTTGTTGTCCTGCAGAGCACCCAACTTTTGTGTGATCATGTTAGTGGTTCTCCCAGAAGCGGTCCCAGCAATATGGAACTTATTTTATCAGAGGTCTACACCTGATACTGCTGCTGGAGAGAAGCTTTCCCCTGCTGATGTCCTTCCTATTGCTCCCTATTCTCCCCTGCAGTTCCTCAGGGAAAGTTCATGCTGTCACTGAGTGAACCAAGTTGAGAACTGATGCAGGCTAAAGGCACGCTTTTTGTTTTTCTTCCCGGGTTTAACCCAGGTCATTTCCTGCGTTTCCTTCCCTGGGTGGGCACTCATGGTCTCTCCCTGGCACTCGGGAGCAGATAGCAGCACACTGTTGGGAGTGAACAGTCGGGGGAGGTTACGACACCTTTTCTTGGCAGCTTATACAGGTTTATTGTTGAGGAAGTTATGGCACTGGCAGTCTTGCTTTGCAGGCACCAAAAATTGCTCACTATGAAGCCTTAGGTTTAAATCTTTGTACTAAGCACGAGTAGTGGTGGTGTGTGTTCTGTTGTTCTTCTTTTCCACCCCTTCCCCCAGCCCATTCCACACATTTTAAGTGGAGGTTCTGCTTTAGAAGAACAGCAAAGAATGGAGTGAGGGAACATTTTCTTCAAGGATTGTATACAGCTGCATGTTTGGAAAACGTGAAAGATGGAGTATGTGAATGGAAAAGCTGCTGATGTCAAGCTGAAGAAGTTCAGTGTGTTATGAGAATTCATATTCATTTGTTGGCTTGTGTGTGATAGTGTGTTTGAATATGTCTTGCAAACCAAAGGCACTTGAGATGATCGCTTCTAGAGAGAGGAACTCTTACTGTAGTGCTGATGATCATTAAACATCTTAACAAAAAGCTGAAGTCTAGTCATGCAAGGTGATTATAAGAAAGCTTTAAAGCTTTCTGGCACCTGCTTGTTGATCAAGAAGTTGTTTATGATTAGAAACCATGTGTTCCTTTCTCCAACATCTTACGTGGTCCAGATCCCTGACTTGAGGGTCAAAGTGTTAAAAGTCCCTTAATTGATGCTTGGGACTGCTCAGGGCTACTCATAGTTTACAGGTTTGTTTGTTTGTTTGTTTTTCAAATATCAGCTGTTCTAGGAGTTTAGGACCCCCAAAGATACTGTCACAAAAACAACAAAGATTTGGCTGTTTGGCTTTTTTTTTTTTTTTTTTTTTTTAAAAAAAAATCTTCATTGCTCTGTCTCTCCATAGGAGAACATGTTAATGCTTATCGTGCATTAAATATATTTGTCTGTGTAGGTAAACGTTTGCATGTATGTATGTACCACGTATAACACTTGAGAATATGCAAGTGGCAAAGTCTGTGGAATGCAAAGTAATTGAGTACCAAAAAGGAGGTAGCTTATAGGTGTAGTAACTGGGTAATAGAAAAGAACAGAAAAGTAAAGGATAGACAGGGAAAAAGATTCTTTTGCAAGAGTGCCTGTTTGGTGCCTGAGAGAAGTAAGAGGCAAGAAGAGAGGTAAGGTCTAGAGAAAATTAATATGTTGGTGGAAAGAGGAAGGGGAAGAAAAGCCTTTGGTATAAGGAAGTGTTGCAAACGCTGATGATTTATCTGGAAAAACATGAAGCTTGTGAGAGTATCACTCAGATACATCACCACACCTTCCTGTAGGGCTATGTAGGACAGGCAGACTTTATGTCTTTTTAACAGTGTAGAAAAATAGTAAGATTAACTGTACCTAAGATGTCTGTGCTGTAAGTTGCTCAAGTAAGCTTTATTTTATTCAATTTTTTTCCCCTATGAAAAAGTTCAGGTTCAAGGGGATTATCTTTACAGCACAAACTTCAAGTTGTGCTTACAGCTCTCACCACAATGAGAGACTGATATTTAAAATTGAATGTTCTCTACTGCCATTCCATCATGAACAGAAGAGGGTGGGAATGTTCACCTTCATTTTTAAATGTTACTTTGTCTCATGCTGGGATCTAAACTGCTCATCCTTTTTCTTGCTAAGAGAAGAAACCTGCCTGCTGAAACTGTGGGAGCTGACTTTGGCTGCCTAGGAGATAATGAAATATTATCAGTAGCTCAGAAAGGAATAATTTGAAATTAGGATTTCAGCATGTAAAGAAAATCATTCTGTTCAAGTACCGAGATAAAGAAAGAGCTGTTACTTTGCTTTGCTGGGAAGTCCTGTATTCAAAGTACTTTGATTCTGCAAACAATCAATCTCTTTAGAGATTCAAATTCAGTGAGTGCAACAATCCCACTGTAAGCTTTTTTTGTTAAAACAGGAACAGTAAAAATGGTTGAAGAAACATCTAGCAATTAAAAACTGTGGAAAGTTAGTGAAAAAAGTGAGCAACTTCTGATGCTGTGTACGTTTAAGAGCGCGTGATTAAAATAAACTAATATTTGAGTTCTTATGCTTTAGTGTAATACCACACTAGGTAAGATGAAGGCCTGACGTCCCAGAGAGTATTGTCTTGAATAGAGGAAATAAACATAACTGAGAGAAAGAAAGCAAGTCAAGTAAAATAATAGCACTCCAGGTTGTGTGTGATTCTGCTTTTTCTGTTCTTCTGGTCTCTTGGAGAGGGTGCTGTGTGGGCTCAGTAGAAAAAACAGTAGTGAAGTTTTATCAAGGCACTTTGGAATGCTATTTAGAGTGCAAGAATAATCACTTTTCCTTTCTGTGATGTGATCTTAGGCTGGAATATGTTTCTCCAATGCAGTGTCTTTCTCTGAAACGAACAACTAAGGATTTTTTTTAAGATTGTGTTAAAATAAATAAATTCTTGCTTAGAGCAGGGAGATTGGGACCTATTTAGTGAGACAAGATGCCCATGTTGACTTATTGTAATCTGTCTGCTACTTTGAACAGAAGTTCACTAATGTGTTTTTCTGGATTTCTTAATTGAGCTTCTCACATTAGGATGGCTTCTCTTACAGTTTTAGATGTTGCTGAAGAAATAATCTCAAACTAAACAAACAAAAGAAAAAAAATGGAATATAGGGTTGAGATTTCAAGTTTCTAATTTGTTGTGCACAGTACTTCTAAGTCAGTTACGTAAGTGTATTGTACAATACACTTATACAAAGAATTATACAAAGAATTTTTAAATTTCTGGATGATTCTAGGTTTTCAAATACTGTGCTAGAGTGATCTCCAGATAGTGTATTACAGACATCCTTTAGTAAACAGGGTTTCACATGACTTCCTCAGGAAGGGAAGAAATACTTTGATTAAAGAGAGGGGGATGACTGAGAAAGCTGAATTCCTTTAAAACTGTTACAAGTCCTGAATTCTCACAGCATCAACACCAGCAGCATAAGCTTTTTTCTCGTAAGTTTGGCATGTGCATGCTGAACACAGCTTCTGTGGTCCTTTGAGCTTGCAATTAATCACAATGCACAAAATCATCTCATGAAGTGCTTCAGGGTGCAATAGAATGCTGGCTCCATCCTCATTTTATAGATGCTGTTGCTGGAATCGGATTGAGACTTCTTTGGGAGACTGTACTTCGGAAGAGGAGAACAAATACTGGAAGTTTTTCTCATTACAGCGAGTTCATGATTGCAGCGATATGAATAACCTTCGTTCGAGGTGAACAAATAACCTTCACTTGAGATGAAGGTTAAGATAAAGATTTTTGAATAACTCTGTCTGCTAATTTTATATTAACATAAGAGGTTTGAGTATGAAATTGGTTGGTTTTTTTGAGCCTGTGTGCAAATTTTAAAATGCAAGTACTTCATGACAGACAGAAAATGAATGCTCTTGGATCTTAAGAACTAAATCTCATGAACATACTCACGAGGAAGTGAGAACACATGGAGCACTGTGCCCGGTACTGAGCTTCCCATTAAGATAGTCACGCATCCTCATCGGTCTATGAAACCATTGGAGGGCAACAAGAGGCTGAGGAAACTGAAGCATACGAGGTATGAGGAGAGACTGAGAACTACATTTATTAGCCCAAGGAGGAAAAGGTCCAACTGGTTGGTTGGAGGTTGCAGAGAAGATGGTTCCAGGCTCTTGAAACTGTGTGGCAATAAGATGAGAAGTAACATGTTATTTGGAAGAGTGAGAAACACTGACTAGATACTAAGGATGTTGTTTTTTTTTTCATGAGAACAGTAAAATCCTGGAAGGAGTTCCCCAAGAGGCTGTGGTCTGTCCTTGGAGGTGTTCAAGTCTAGGCCAAATGTGGCCCTCAAGACCCTGCTGTGCTCAGACCTCCTCTGCGCTAGGGGTGGACATGATGGCCACTGGAGGTTTCTTCTGACCGGAACTAGTCCATGATTGCACAGATAAACTCCTGGACTTTAGGAATGTGCCCTGGGATAGACATGAGTGTTTCATCCTTGAACCCTGATAAAAATGTAGATGTTAGGGTTTTTAGCATGTATTCTGAGGCTTGTGTCAGGCACAAAGAAATTTATTGCGTTCTGTTTCTAG